GTGTCGGAGGGGTTTTGCTCGTGAGGCTTCAGGCAGGCAGCTGAAGTGCTCTGTGGGACTGGTGTGTGGCCTGTTTGGAGAGGTCACCAGTCTGGGGGCTGTAAGGAGCCCCGAAGTTGAGCAATTCGCCCTGAGCGGACGCCCTCAGTTGTGCCCAGACACGGTCCGGTCCGTCACACCGACTCTCCAGTTTGGCCAAGGCACATGGCCGAGGGGCACTGGTGGCACCTGATGGCATAGATTACATTAGTGGATGTGCAGTTAAATGAGCCTACTAATTGAGAGGGCTGGATGTGCCCCATTCACAGCTATTGATGTGAAAATGTGACTATCAAAGGTTAAGGAAATTGGCTTTGTAATGCATTAGCAGGCAATGTCTTTATTCAAGCGCAGGCTGATGGTGTCAAATTTGTAAATTAACCCTAGTTCAGCTGTCTCCCTCTCTGATTGGGTGATAAAATTCCTTTGGGGGAGGAGGGCTACTTCTAAACCCATGACTGAGTGTCCAGGGAGGTTCAAGTGCCCCCTACAGGTTTGGGTGTGTTACCATTTCTAATTTTCCACACCAGCTCATCTGATGAGTGGGTTTTACCCACGAAAGCTCGTGGCCCAATACACCTGTTAGTCTCTAAGGTGCCACAGGACTGCTCATTGTTTTTGAAGAAACAGACTAACAGGGCGACCCCTTGAGACTTTCTCCCCTTTAGCCAGCTCCTTGCAGTTCCTCAGTTCCGCCCAGCACGAGGTCATCTGCAAACGTTATAACCAACCTCTGCACCCCAGTGGCCATGCCATTAAAGACAATTGCGAATGTTCAGTCCTGGGCCTGGTACTACTCACCTGCATGTGACACCCTCCCCAATGTGATAGGAAACAACTGACAACTACTCTGTGGGTCTTTCAACCAGTTGCGCACCCACCTGATTAATTTCATCTAGATCGCAATGCCCTGCATTTAGGGCAGTGTCGAATGGGATCTGTTAAAGCCACATTAAAAATCAAGTTATGACATCTACCTCTCCCCACTCTGCCACGAGCTATACCAGTAGCTCTGTCAAAGGAGGAAATCAAATGGATTTGGCATGATTTGCTCTTGAGAAGTGGTCATCACGTTATTGGGTTTTAAACATCACTGCTGCACCCATGGGGGTCTGCTCCTGATCCCAGATGCAGCCTGGCGAGGAACAAGTTTGCCCCAAAGTCTGTGCGAAGGGGCCTTGTGAGGTGTCACAGGAAAGCGTGTCCCCCACTGATTCTGGGCGTGCTATTCGTGTACTTGTGTGGTATCTGGGGGGGCTCTGGGCTTGTGCTGGAAGAGTCTCTGTCCGAGACAGAGCAGTGGGCAAGGAATGTTCAGCCAGTGACTGTGCTAATTAGCACGGCTCCGGGGACAATGGCTCTCTAGGTGCCAATGCACACCTGGGGAATGCGCCTGGCACCTGCAGACCAGCCAGTATCTGATGACCGCTGACATGGGACACAGGCATAGGCCACTGAGTCATGTGACCTGCTCTGGCCAGGAAGATGCCAGGAGAGGTATATAAATGCCATGTGGCAATCTCCATCTGGGCTTCAGTTCTGCTCCTGATCCCAGATGCAGCCTGGCGAGGACAGCGAGCCGGGAAGAACCGTGGACCCATCCTGACGTAGGATGTAACCAGAGACTTTTAAGCCAGCAGCTGTAACATCTCTGCTGGGAGCCTGCATTGCGGACGTGGTGATCGATGCATGTGATGTATTCTCCTTCACAACCTCACTCTCCACCTTTTTTCTTTTATGAATAAATCTTTCCATTTTAGTTGCTAAAGGACTGGCTCAGCGTGATCTTACGGGTTAATTAGCACGGCTCCGGGGACAATGGCTCTCTAGGTGCCAATGCACACCTGGGGAATGCGCCTGGCACCTGCAGACCAGCCAGTATCTGATGACCGCTGACATGGGACACAGGCATAGGCCACTGAGTCATGTGACCTGCTCTGGCCAGGAAGATGCCAGGAGAGGTATATAAATGCCATGTGGCAATCTCCATCTGGGCTTCAGTTCTGCTCCTGATCCCAGATGCAGCCTGGCGAGGACAGCGAGCCGGGAAGAACCGTGGACCCATCCTGACGTAGGATGTAACCAGAGACTTTTAAGCCAGCAGCTGTAACATCTCTGCTGGGAGCCTGCATTGCGGACGTGGTGATCGATGCATGTGATGTATTCTCCTTCACAACCTCACTCTCCACCTTTTTTCTTTTATGAATAAATCTTTCCATTTTAGTTGCTAAAGGACTGGCTCAGCGTGATCTTACGGGTAAGATCCAGAGAGTAAATGGACTGGGAACTGTGGCTGGTTTCTTGGGTCCGGAAGAACCCGTTGGGGGTAGGTGAGATCGGGTTCTATAACCCCCCACCTGAGTTTTAGGCCTGGGGCTGACTGTGGCACAGAGAGAGCTGGGGTGTCAGAGAGTTTTGCTCAGAGTGACTAGTTTGTGGCCCGTTTGGAAGGTCTCCTGTAGGGGCTGTAAGGAGCCCTGGTTTTGAGCAATTCGCCCTGAGCGGACGCCCTCAGCTGTGCCCAGCCCCAGCCCGGTCTGTCACAGAAGCCAAGCTGGCTAGTGCGTGTAACTCGGGGCTTACAAATGGATTGTCGAATCTGTTCCAGCATCTTCCCGGACAGTGAAGCGAGGCTGCCTGAGCTAGAATCCGGAGCCCTCCTTGCTCCCCTTTAAAAATGGGGGACCTAGCAATGGGATCAGACTTTGCCAGCAGCATATCCTGCCAGCACAGCTCCCTGTCTATCCCCAAAGACAGTGATTGCCATCTGCCATAGCACTGAGGACATGGCGGGACGGGCGGGGAGAGAGCGTTCTTTCGAAGCCCTGTCCCACTCACGGCAAAGGGGCGTGGTTCAAATGAAGGACTCACGTCGCTCCTAACCCCTCCGATGCTTTTAATTATGATTCCGACCTTTGCTGTTTCTTTCATTCAGACCCCAAGATTCCCAGCCCAGAAGGGACCACTGCGACCATCCAGTCAGACCGCCTGTCTAACGCAGGCCAGAACCTGCCCCATTACAATTCCTAGGGCAGGTTTTTTAGAAAAACATCCAACCTTGATTGAACCTGTGTCGGTGATGGAGCTTCACTGTATTGTTCCACTGCTCACTAACGTTCCCTGCTCACAATACAGGCTCTTTCAAGTCCGAGTTTGTTTAGCATCAACATCCAGTCATCAGATCATGCAACATCTTTTTCTGCTAGAATGAAGAGCCCGCTGGTAAGTACTTGCTCCCCTGTAGGTACCTGGATGGTAATCAAGCCCTCCCGTCACCTTCTTGATTAGGCTAAATACATCAACTGAAGGAGTCAATCACTAGAAAACGTGGTTTCTAATCATTATCATGGCTCTTCCCTGACCCCTCTCCAATGGAACGGTGCCACATAGACACGTCAAATCTCTCTCCTCCTCGAGGCTCCTGTTTATACAGCCAAAGACTGCATTCGACCCTCCAACCATAACACCACACGGGGACCTCAGTTCATCTGATCATACTCCCAACTCTTCTCTCGGAGTCACTGCTTGCTGGATAGAGTCCTCATCCTGCCTGGCTTCCATTTCCCATTCCTAGACGTGTACATTTACAACATAGAGAAATTAAAACCTATTGTCTGCACACAGCTTAAAAGGTCCCCTCGCTGACTATCAGTGACCATCCTCATTACCACTCGCCCCATTTTGTGAAATTTGCAACTTTCTGGGGGTATCCTGCAGGAACTGGGACTTGTCTCTGCACTACTTGACAAAAAACATACAGGCATCCCCAGGAAACACACCTGCTCAATAATGATTCGGTAACAATTACATCCTGAGACCCAGCAGTTAGCCAAATTTTACTCCATTTAACATGCGCCAAGTTAAGTTTATATCATTTTAATTTTTAATCAAAATGTACAGGCTAATACATCAACACGATCACCTCTCTCGACCAAACCTGTAATCGCATTACAAAAGATGTCCCTCGTTTGACAGGATATACTTTCGATAAACCCATTGCTACATCTAAACTACACCCCTCTGTTGGCAGAGGGATGTAAATTAGATGTATCGAAAGTGCAAATGAAGCGGGGATTTAAATATCCCATACTTCATTTGCATAATGGTGGCCGCTGCTTTTTTCTGAAACTGAGCTTTTCAAAGAAAACGGTAGTTTAGACGGGACATTTTCGACAGAGTACAGGGTCTTTCGAAACAGGGCATTTATCGAAAATGCTCCGTCTCGAAAAAAGCAGTGGCCGCCATTATGCAAATGAAGTATGGGATATTTAAATCCCCGCTTCATTTGCACTTTCGATACATCTAATTTACATCCCTCTGCTGACAGAGGGGTGTAGTTTAGACATAGCCATGTAGACTGGCATTAATTATATTATCCTCCTTTCAAGTCCTGTATCAGGTGCCCTTTTTACCTTGCCTGAAATCAAAACTAGAATGCCTGGTCTACAATGATCCAAGCTGTCTCATTTATCCTTTTCAAATGTTGGCCCAAGGATGCCTTTTGGAACTTCCCCTGGCTCCAAAGCTGATCAAAAAGCAGCATTAATGGTTCAGCAAGCTCCTCGGGTAACTCTTGTACAACTCTCGGCTGAAAGTTTTCTGGACCTGCTGATTTTAAGATGTCCAACTTTACCAGCTGCGGTTTAATACCCTTCCGAGGGCTAGGAAAGTGGCGAGACCACTGTCACGGGAAATAACATCATCTCCCCCCACGTACAGATACGTTCACTGGGCACGTCTGCCTTTTCGGCGTTGATAGTTCCGCCATTCCCACCCAGTGACGGGCACGTGTCTGTTACGGTGCCTTTGTTCCTAGCATTGCCCGGGATTCCTCGTGCCGACAAATTCCACCTAGATTCGTGCCTCTGGCCGCGGGGAGGGTCGGAAAAGTGGGTGAGAACCTTCGGGCTTACGGTCTCGTCCCAGGACCAGCGAGCCCAGGGACAGGCAGCTCCCCGCTCTCCTGAGCAAGAAACAAATCATCTCTCGCACTGGTGACGCGGCATCTCATCTGCTCCTGCTGCTCTGACCGCGCATCTCACAGCCCAGAGACCTGCCTTTGGATACCGCCCAGTAACCCACAAGTGCAGGCCCCACCGAGGTCCAGCTGCTGCGTGGAGAGCAGCACGGGGAACTGCACGCAGAGTCCCATCATCGCCATGGCTGGGGTCACCTGCCTCACCCGACACTGCTCACAAAGGCAACGTGACGGAGCGGGCGAACACACAGCAACGCCACACGCAAACCTGGGCCCAAGCAATACGGCCCAGGGAATGGACAGCGCATTTCGGCACCGGCAGCTGTGGGCGAGGGGGAAGCTTTCACTGCAGCATGAGCTGAAGGGAACCGGGGTGTTACTTGAACCCTGATGGATCAAACTCAGGCGTCTGCTGAGGCCGGGAACTGCAGTGAGGCACAAGAGGGGAGGGTAATAAGACATCAAGTCCTGCCCCTCCCCCTCTTGGGGGTGTGGGCTCACATCTGACATTCAGGTTTAGACCCCTCTGCCCAGCTGAGAAGAGGTCTAAACCTGCCGGAGAAGTTCTGCATTTGCAGGTCTCAACTGACTCTGCTGGACAGCACAACACTCACCATGTGCTAACTTAACCCTGACCCCGACAGGACCACAGGAACCCTCCCAGCCGCCCTGACAGGCAGGCCCGGCACACGGAGCTCGCCCTGGAAAGGCCCCATCCCGCCGCCCTGACACGGCGACAGGCAGGCCCGGCACACGGAGCTCGCCCTGGAAAGGCCCCATCCCGCCGCCCTGACACGGCGACAGGCAGGCCCGGCACACGGAGCTCGCCCTGGAAAGGCCCCATCCCGCCGCCCTGACACGGCGACAGGCAGGCCCGGCACACGGAGCTCGCCCTGGAAAGGCCCCATCCCGCCGGCTGACACCGCGACAGGCAGGCCCGGCACACGGAGCTCGCCCTGGAAATGCACCATCCCGCCGCCTGACACCGCGACAGGCAGGCCCAGCACACGCAGCTCTCCCCGGCAAAGGCGCCATCCCGCCGCCCTGACACCGCGACAGGCAGGCCCAGCACACGCAGCTCTCCCCGGCAAAGGCGCCATCCCGCCGCCCTGACACCGCGACAGGCAGGCCTGGCACACGGAGCTTGCCTCAGGAAAGGCGCCATCCCGCCGGCTGACACCGCGACAGGCAGGCCTGGCACACGGAGCTTGCCTCAGGAAAGGCGCCATCCCGCCGGCTGACACCGCGACAGGCAGGCCTGGCACACGGAGCTTGCCTCAGGAAAGGCGCCATCCCGCCGGCTGACACCGCGACAGGCAGGCCTGGCACACGGAGCTTGCCTCAGGAAAGGCGCCATCCCGCCGGCTGACACCGCGACAGGCAGGCCTGGCACACGGAGCTTGCCTCAGGAAAGGCGCCATCCCGCCGGCTGACACCGCGACAGGCAGGCCTGGCACATGAGGCTCGCCCCGGCAAAGGCGCCATCGTGAGAACAGGCCACAGTAGCTCAGGGAGAAGGTACCTGGAGCGCCCGCTGACAAGCAGTAGCCCTTGCTCAGGCTAGAGGGAAGGGGGACCGGACCCCGAGGGACAGCCGGCCGGGGCAGCCCCACAGCGGCTGTCCTGCAGGTGGGAGGCGGCTGTGACGCGTGGCCTGTAGCACAGCACAGGCACCGTGCTCCGAGCTCAGAGCCCTGGCTAGGCTGCTGCCGCACGACTGGGGCAGGGCAGTCTGCCGGCAGCTGGTCTCGACGCCCCCGTAGGGCCCAGTCAGTGCTCTGCCTTTGAAGGGGCAGGTGCTGCTGGGTGCCCTGGCCCGCTGCAAAGGCCCAGTCTCCGGCAGGCAGGCTGGCTGCATTCTGAACCCGCCGGGCTGCCCGTCTGGAGAGCACAGCAGTGACGGGATGGCGCCGTATGGCAAGGACCTACCCCTGGGAGGCAAGTCTCTTGGGCTGCAGGCGAGCAAGCCAGAGCTGGGCCCCCGAAACTGCCCACCCTCCCTCCAAGGACGCATGCGCCCCCGCCCGGCCATAGAGATCCAGAGAGAGACGCCTTCCGTCCAGGACGCCTGCTCTCCCCAACGGTGAGGAGCCCCAGGGGCACAGCAGAAGCAGAGCGAGTGACAGACAAAAATATTTAAAATCACGAAATACGCAACTAATGCAACCTGGACTCAGGCTGTGAGCAGGGCCCGAGCCACACTGGATACACGGCGAGCGACCGCCCGTGGACTCCGCAGCGCTGGGCCGCGCCAGGGCTACTTCCTGCCCCGCCTGCGGGTGCTTTTTGGAATTTCCGCTTTGTGCGCGGCTGGGGGCTCCTCCTCCTCTTCGCTGCTCCTGCTCTCACTGTCCGCCAGGTGGGAACGCCCCCTCTTACTCCTCCTCCTGCTGCTCTCGGCCCCGGCGCCAGGCAGGCGACCGCCCGTGGACTCCGCAGCGCTGGGCCGCGCCAGGGCTACTTCCTGCCCCGCCTGCGGGTGCTTTTTGGAATTTCCGCTTTGTGCGCGGCTGGGGGCTCCTCCTCCTCTTCGCTGCTCCTGCTCTCACTGTCCGCCAGGTGGGAACGCCCCCTCTTACTCCTCCTCCTGCTGCTCTCGGCCCCGGCGCCAGGCAGCTTCTTGGCAGACCCCAGCCCAGCCCTCCTCTTCCTGCTCCGGGCTGCCGGGCGCCTCTTGCGCTGCTTGTGCGGCTCCTCTTCTCTCTGGCGCGTTTTCACCCGTTTCTCCACGCTCCTCCTCCTAGTCGTGTTCACATCAAACCAGTCCTGGGGGCCCAAAGGCAGAGGTCAGTGCTGGGGGAGAGGTTCTGGGCAAAGAAACGGTCCCTGGGCCCACGGCCTCGCAAGGAAGGGGAGGGCTGGGCGCCCGCCCTCTTGCGCTGCTTGTGCGGCTCCTCTTCTCTCTGGCGCGTTTTCACCCGTTTCTCCACGCTCCTCCTCCTAGTCGTGTTCACATCAAACCAGTCCTGGGGGCCCAAAGGCAGAGGTCAGTGCTGGGGGAGAGGTTCTGGGCAAAGAAACGGTCCCTGGGCCCACGGCCTCGCAAGGAAGGGGAGGGCTGGGCGCCCGCACGTGGGCCATGCCTGAAGGCAGGGACCCGGCTCTCACCTCGGCGTGCACAGAGTTGATGTGGTACTTGACCCCGCTCTCCGAGACGAACTCCTTCTCGCAACGGAGACACTTGTCATCA